TTAAATATAAAGTGAAAGAAGGAAAAAATTGAATAGAGATAATATAATGATGAAGTAAAATTTAATGAGTGAATTAGAATTATGAACTGTAGAGAAATCATAAAAAATATTTAAGAAATGAAGTGCAACATGATAAAAAAAATTAACATAATACAACAAATTTAAATTAATTTAATACGAAGAAGTCAACTAAATATAATTTAAATGGATAACAAAGTTTTGAACTCCAATTGACAAAGTAAAATAAAATAATATTACATAATTAATTATTTGATAAACTATGAACAATTTGGTCTCTAATTGCATCACGAACACGATTCATATGCGATGAAAACTGTGATGTAACGTTTGAAGGCGATGGTTGACTAGCTTCAGCCTGATCATGTTCGGCCACTATATTATCATTTTCAACTTGTTCAAAAAGAAATTCAGAGCTTGAATGTCTCCTTATAAGGTTATGAATGGCCATTGTTGCACAAACTAAGTATACTTGTGTTTGGAAGTCGTAACTACGCATGTTTCGTAAGATGTGAAAACTATTCTTCCAAACACCGAAAGTTCTTTCTATTGTGCACCTTAAACTGGAATGATAGTAATTGAAGGCTTCGTTGCTATTTCGGAATCCTACTTGTCGTCGGAAGTCCGGAAGGTGGTAGCGCTCAGATCTGTATGGACCTAGATATCCATTTGGTGTTGGATATCCCGCATCAACCAAGTAATATTTTCCTAATGATTCATGAAACAATTAGAGAGATTGTCAACAACAAAAAATGAAATAATTAAAAAAACATGCGTGATTGAAACTTATAAACATATACCTGGAGGTGGATGAGGGAAATTAAGAGATGAATTTGTAATAGCACTGTCAAATATACGAGCATCATGTGCAGATCCCTCCCATCCCGCCAAGACAAAAGTGAAACACATATCCCAATCACATACAGCCATGACATTTTGTGATGGATTTCCCTTTCTGCCAATAAATTTGTCTCTTTTTGCAGCAGGGACAACACACTGAATATGAGTGCCATCAATTGCTCCGATTGCGTCCTTGAAAAATGGATAATAACGTGGATCGGTCTCAATTTTCTATGAGTTCCACGAAATGTAGGATCTATGGGTCGAATAAGTTCACTCGATAGGCTAAGGCAAGCTTGCAGTACATTATGAAAGTGCCTACTTACAGTTTCCCCTGAACGTTGAAACCGTTCCTGGATCATCCTATTGCATTGTCCATGTGCAACCGTGTTTAAAAACATCGCGACCATTTCTTCAATTCCTACGTATTTAGACTTTTGTAAACCGTGTTCCTCCAATTTGGTACATAAGAGGTGGAAAACATGTTTATCCACTCTAAACATTTCAGGACATCGATCATCATGGCCATTCATAATGCTTGCACCCATAAATTTCCTGTCTGCTCACTAGTTCTGCAGGGTTGTTTAAACATATACATTTCACAGTAATGACCAATCAATGCACCTACTGCTTCATATTGTGTTAATTCCTCATTAATCTGTCTTGAACGGTCATCTTCATTCCACTAAGAATCATCATTCCAATCCTTCAAAGTATCTTCATTCAATGGTGAATCATCATTCCAAGAAGCCATTTCTGGAGTTGACCCTGTAACTATGATGACAACAAAGTGTAAGCATTATAAGGATTACCCTAAAGAAGGTGTAAATAATTATCATACTGCAAACAGAAAAACTAAACACATATATGATAAGTAGAAATTAGCGTAAATATTACAGTCATTACTAAGATTTCTACAACAGGTCACATAAGTTTAGGTTCAAACAGCAATTAGTTCAAGTTAACAAGTGCAGTAACAACAGTGAAACAACAAAGTCCTAAACTAAATCCTAATCTACAAGTCCCTTCCATGTGTCTGGGTCTAGTGCTGCCGGTATCAACCACTCCAACAACTTGCTTCTATCATGCATAAATCCCAAATAGGCTCGCCTAGCCCACCTCAACTGCGTAAGCATCTTCGCACCTGCATAATATAGTTGAGGGTTAACATTAAGCTCCTCAAGGCTAGCCAGGTGTCCCCAAATCTTCTCAACTTGTTGGGGATCTTCAACCAATGCTGATGCTCGCTTTTCAGAAGCAGCTGCTATAACACTCAGGCTATCAGAAATTTTTGTAGTCGCAGCAACTTTTTTCTTCTTCTTCGCATCAGACGTCTCACCCCTCTTCCTCTTTCCATAGCTTCCTGAGTCACTTGATCCAATACTCGAACGGTTGTTTAAGTTGCAACCAGCAAAATCATCTGAGATCCCTGCGGTGGCTGTTGGGTCAACACCGAAATTTTCATCTTCACTGTCCCCCGACCCTTCCTGTTGGTCGAGCCCGACTCTATAAACATCCTCCTCTTCTGTGTCAGGCTGTGGAGTGAATGCTGGCTGAGGTTGTGAGGCTGATGGTGCATACATAAAGTCTCCCGAAGCCACAACATCTTTGAATATCTTCATTAGGTCTGATGCAAACATCAACCCCTAATGTCTAAATTTCTTGAAATTGGGATTCACCTACATTAACGTAATTAGGCAAGTGTCAGCGATGACGAAACTGATATTTAAAATTAAAACTCAACCAACACAAATAGTTACCATTAATTTCCATTGCCACCACTCATCAGAGGCCAACACCCTATTTGTCGCTGCATCATAACCAATGCCAATCTCCCCAGACATAAGTTTCTCCCACAACTTCCAATCCTTTCTCAAAATGTCAAATCTATTCTTAAGTTGCTTCCTGTCATACATTTTCCCACTCCTTTCCTGAAAATTCTTTGTAATTTTGTTCCAACCCGGCCTCGTAAATGATGTTCCTTGGCGTTCCTTGTGCACAATTTGCTCGACACAAACATCGATTAGGATTTTCGTCGTATACGAATCCCAACTCGCTTTTTCTTTATCATTATCCATTTCTAGGTGGAAAATAATATAGATAAGACTAACAGAAGCAAACAAAGCACCAAAAATGTTCAAATTCAAGCTACATTATGTAAGAAATAAACGGCTTGTTTTACTTGCTCAATAAATGGCTTGTCTTATCTCCTAATTTTTGGATTCCAATCGGCTCATGCTCACTCCCTCTGCCCCTCCCAAAAAAATGTGTGTGGGTGTATATATATGAGAGTGTCATGCAAAACAATTTATAAATTCATAAGAGTACTTAACAATTTTCTTAAAAACCTGTCCCACCGAATTGAGGGTAAAAAATTTTTCAAAAAAAGAATTTATAAACGTATAAGAGTAATCAATAATTTTTCCCTAAAATATCCTTCACCCTTGAGAATCCAATTAATAAGAAGATGATGGATAATAATTGAAGGCAAAAATAAAAAGAGAATACTTAGGTCAAATTACTTGAATTGGTTAAAAATGTTTTATTGATGTGTAAATTAGAAGAAAACTTATCATAAACTAATAAGAAGTGGACCATTTGACAACATTAATTGATATCAAATGTAATTTGGGACTCATATTTCTTTTGAAAGAATATATGGCTCATTCCTCCTGTCTCCTACAACACTCGTTTACAGCGAGCAATTAGGATCTATGCCAGGTTTGACCCAAAACTCAGATCTAAATATCAACAAACGTCAAGCATTCATCACAAAAATTCGCTAATCACTGAAACACAGCACAAAACCAAGCCAAGAAGAAAACATTCAGACAGCACGGTGGTTCGATTTCAATCTATCTATCAGCTCACAACATATCAACAAACACACAACTCTACATACTTTGATTAATAGTGTATCACTCCTACATTCACCGAAAACCAACACAAACATATGGGAATCGGCCAACCTCACACAAATCAGACCAATCGAAGTTAGGCAGAGGTAGATCAGCCAATGCTGATCACTGAAACACAGCACAAATCAGACCAAGCTAAGATCTTCGACGCACACCTGAGATGGACCAGCTGACAGCGGCGACTGGTTGGGACGACGATAGCAACTCCGACAGGCTGGACTCGTGATGAACGACCAGCCTCTCGGTCACTCAAAGCCACAGCCAAGTTGCTTCCTGTCACCGAGGAGACGCGACGGAGCTGATGGCAACCAAGTCTCGGTGGTTCTGGCGACGACACGATGGAGGATGAGGGGAGGCAGCTCGCGTGAAGGACTCTCGGTCACTCGAAGCCGCACCCAGACCTCATGGAGGAGACGCGACGGAGCTCACAGTAACTCTTGGTGGTTCCGACGACGACGCGATGGAGGAGGCAGGATGAGGGCTTGGGGTCAAGGAGAAGGGAGAGCAGACGCGAAAGAAGAAAAGAAAGAAGACTCCAGGAAGAAAAATGAGGACTGGACGACAGGAAGAGCTCAACGGTAAAAAAATAAGAGCTTATCTGATTCAATAAGCCACAAAAATTAGCTTGGGCCAGGACATGCGTTCAGTAGCTTAAATTGTATAAGCTACTTTTTTTTTAAGCCCAACCAAACAGGATCTTAACACCAATCAGGCTTATGTTGATTTTAAGCTACTTATAAGCTCTTTAGAAGCCCAACCAAACGGACCCTTAGTGGATATTTTTCCTTCCCAAAATACCCCTGGCTAAAGCCATAAATAAAGGCCTCCATCCATCAGTTCAACTCACCAAAGTAGTTGAGTTTTCCTACTCTCTCCTCTCACTCTCTAATATTCTCTCTTGTGTGGTGCTGTGTTGTGTCACTCAAGTTTAGACTGCTAGCCAATAGATCAACTCGTGGAACTCCTAAGAAATAACCTGGATCTAAACATGGATCTGACCTAGTATGCATTTCTTGTTTTATATTTAATATTTCTGACAGAAGTAAATAGATAAATATCAACCAATAAAACTCAATTTGAAGAGTTTATATATTAATAAAAAAAATCTAAACATGAACAAAAATTAAAACATGAGCTGTAACAAATGAAATAGTAAGGTTATTACACTCAACAAAGAAATTAGAATGAGCAAACAAAATAAAAACCTTTAAAATTGACTAAAGATTAAGAACTATCTTCAAGAAATGGATAATCTGTATATCCTATCACAGGATCAGAAGTATAAAATGTCTCTCTATTGTACTTGTTAAGAGGAGCATCAAGCTCAAATCTCTTTGGCAAATCTGGATTTGCCAAGAACAACCGTCCATAGGCAACAAGATCCGTCCTGTCATTCACCACTGCGTGATTGCCATCATTCCGATCATAGCCTCCAGCGACAATAAAGGTTCCATTAAAGGCCTTTCTTATGGGCACAAGACTATGAGGGCTCTCATCATCTTTTTCTCCAATAGTCTTCATTCTTGGCTCTACCATGTGACAATACAAAGTACCATATTTGCTTAGGGAATTGGCCATGTATAGGCCAAGTTCTTGAGGATTAGAGTCTTCACATTCACAATAATTTGAAAAAGGAGATAATCTAATTCCTACTCTTTCTGCTCCTACCTCATCTGTAACAGCTTCAACTACCTCTAATGGAAATCGACAACGGTTCTCTAATGATCCACCATATTTATCTGTTCGATCATTGACTTTATTTTTCATAAATTGGTCAAGAAGATAACCATGGGCACCATGAATCTCAACCCCATCAAAACCTGCGTTTGCACAAGCATTATTGTTTTAGATTTGTAGTATTTGGTTCATTACTTGTAAGAAGTTAAAAAAAAAAAAAATAGTGCCATTGATATTTCTGGCTTATAAATGCTTTAGTCTCTCTAAATTCATTAACATATTTCAATTTAGTTCCCACTATTTCACATAGTCTGGTTATTATTTGAAAGTAAAGAAAATGCAATGTCGCATTATCCATAATATCTACACACACACACAAAATCTGACAGCTTGATCAGTTAGATGCTACTTCCTCCAATCTGAATTATAAGATTATTCTCATGGTCACTAGTGCAGAACTCTTCAAAAACGGAGGAATCACAGCCAAGTCTCTTCTTTTAAGGGACTTATTTATACTTAATTAGGCCTTGAGATTGACAACTATTATTAATTAATTAATTAATTTACAACTATTTTTTAATATAATAGAAGGATCGGAGTGTAAATATGTCCCCTAAGGAGTGTCTTAACTATGATCCTTCCTTTTAAAACTATCCTTTCTTCAATACTCTCATCATCTATCTTATTTCAACTTGATTATGTGTAATACTATGGGGAAAAAAAGGGGTTAAGATGTAAATCTACCCATAAAGTATTCACCAAGGGCATCAAATAGCATAAACTTTTTTTAGGTGCAAAAGTATACGAGTCTTTAAAATGGTACAATACCTTTACCCTTAAGTCAACTTACACTGACGGTTTAATAAACATATCAACCAAAAAAATGATGCAAAAATACATATAAAGTTTTTAAATTGTAAAAATACGCAAGAAGTTTCCAATTGCTATGCCATTTTTGTACCATTTTGAAAACTTTATGTGTATTTTTACACTATTTTTTTTAATGTATATGTTTGATAAACGGTCATCATATTTTTACATAATTTTAAAAATTTCATGTATGGTTTATACTTGTGAAAAGTATATAGTGCTAGATTGATGCGCATGGCGAAACACTTCATGAGTGGATTTGCACGTTCACCCAAAAAAATATAAAAGTTTTTTTTACACTTAATTGCGTACTTTCAACTAATTTTTTTATAAAGTGGTCCGATATTTCTCACAAGATTTTATAGTTAGAGAACCTAGGTTATACGTACCGGCTTCCATAGCATTCATCGCAGCAATTCTGAAGTCATTGATGATTTGAGGAATTTCAAAAGTTCTCAATCTTCTTGGAGGGGTATATCTGACAACATCGATGCCATTACTTCGTATTTGTGGAGCCACTCCTTTGTCTGTACAAGATATTGGGGCTTGCCCGTATGGCTGAAACTCTTTTCAATATGTACGTCATTTGTAAGTTATAGGGACATAAAATTATTATTGATAGGTTTAAATTAAACAGAAAACGAACCAGTAGAGAAGAAGAAGGAGATACAAGTTATATACAATATAATAAACTTGAGCGAAGAATAATGTAGGTATTGCTTTGAGTGGAGCCACAAAATTTAGGCTAAGGTATGCGTTTAATCTTAAATGCTTATTAAGTTTAATTTTTAAAATAATCATGAATATTATAAAATATATATATTATTGAAGACTAATAATTTTAGGTTTAAAGGATTGGAAATATACTTTTTAAAGTTAATAGATCAAATTAAAACCTTATATACAGTTAAAGGACCAAATATATAGTTTAGCTTAGAATTTAATTATGAAAGATTGTAGCTAGATTTAAAAAATATATATTACCTCTAATCATTAATATATAAGAACTAGTTAAAGGATTATGTTCGCTTCTAAATATAAGACATTAATTTATTTTGTTTTCATACTTATTACTACCTCCAGTTCTTAATATAAGAGCTAGTTGATTAATTTAAATAAATTAAGAAAATTTTTAAGTTAATTATTTGTAATAAATAGGTACTATTTTTTCTAAAATACACTTGCTAATCAAGTGTATTAGTTTTAACATTTGATGAAACATTTAATATACGCGACAACTAAAATGACTAACTTGGAAAAAATGAATAAATATGATAGAGACAAAGTGGATTGGAGTCTTATATTTAGAACCAAATTAAAAGTCAAACTAACTCTTATATTAAGGACTTGAGGCAGTATTTTTCTTTCGAACTTATTTACCTAATAACTTATAAACTAATATGTAATCTATAATATACAGGGATATTCATAGGGAGGTTTAATCATATTTATTATAAGTAACTAATTAATCTCATTTCCTTCATCTATCTGAATAATTAATTAAGTAACTCTTATATTAAAAACTAAAAAAGATATAATACAAAAGCCTACATAAATTTTGAGAAAAAGTATATGCACCTTTTTTTTTCTTGGGCCAACAAAAGTATATGCACATTTTGATTCATTAATTTTTATATTACTTATTTTCAATCCTCCAACCCTAATGCCACTGACGTTGACATTACACCCTACCTAGCTCAACATCAAACCGAAGACGTGTTTGCTCATGCACGTATCTCACCCCTTTGTTTGTATGGTAACTAGCTTTGATCTTACTTTTTTTATTCAAAAAAATGTAGATACTGAAATTTTAAATGTCTTGTTAAAAAAATTTAAATATTGACAAAATATTCTTAAATGTAAATATGTTAAATTTATTTTTTTTAAATAACTTGACAAAAAAATGGTTTCAAACTAATGGCACTGAAACAAACAAAGATATGCTACAAAATTAAAAATTCAAACTAAAATATGACATACAATTAGAGGATTAAAAACACACTTTCACATAAATTTTAATAAGAAAGTACCTAAACTTGAAACCCTTCCAGCGTGCCAAATCTGACAAAAGAAGATGCCACCTTTGTCATGAACAGCATCCACAATGGGTTTCCATGATTCTACTTGCTCCTTCGTCCATATGCCCGGTGTTCTAGGATACCTATAAAATCGAACAATAATTTATGACGAATAAGAAACACATTTTCGAAAAAAGGGGATATAATAATAAGAATAAGGAAAAATTAATCTTTTGGTCCTTCAACTATTAATTCACTTATAACTTAGTCCCTTAACTATAACTTGGTATCATTCAATCCTTGAACTTTTGACCCGACTATAACTCATTCTTTGAACTTTTCATATTTAATAATTTAATCCTTATCATGCATAATTTATTTTTAAACATAAAATAATTATCCTACGTGGCAGAAAAAATTACTTCGCTACTCCCTCCGTTCCTTATTATAAGAGACATTTGATGCTTATGGCACGTTTCCATATATAAGAGACACTTAAAAATTGTCTCTACTTTTTTGTGTTGATTTCCTATTTTACTCATATTTATTATCTCCAACTCACACTCTCTCTCCCTCCCACTTCTCTTTCTTTTAATAATTTAATTATTTTCTCTCATGCTCTCTCTCCTTATTAATGAGGGCATTTTTGGAAAAAAGATTATACTTTTTACACATTAATTGTTCTTAACTAATTTTAACTATTTTTTTGATCAACGTACTTCGGTTATTTGTCTCTTATAATAAGGAACGGAGGGAGTATTAAAAAACCATCTGGTCTGTTACCCAAAAAATAAAAAAGCCATCTGGTGGACATCGTCCTCTCCTTTCTCCTCATAGAGACGCACATGCTTTGTCTTCTTCCTCGTTTCATTTCTTCCTCATAACCCCCTCCACACATTTGTCCTCCCGCTATGTATATGAGGAGGTTGAAGGATGATGCAACTGTTTTGTTCTTTTATGGCCTTTAGAATCAAAGTGGCAAATGTACAAATTTTAATTGGCCACACCCCCACCAGGTTATGCACCTGAATCAAAGGGTCGCTCAAACTCGAGAGCGCTGCAGGCTGAGTGAGAATCACTGGGAGGAGAAATGTGTGGAGGGATAACGAAGAAGATAGAGCATGTTTTGTCTCTGGAAAGGCGTGGAGGAAGAAGAGATTAGAGAATGCCAGTGAAGAAGTGGACATGGTTCTCAAAAGGTGAGGAGAAAGGAAAGGAGTCAAGGACGATGAGTTGAGTCCGCCGGACGGTCTTTTGTTTCCTTAAAAAATTCATCAATGCGTATAAGCTGACTTGGATGACATGTTTGCAACTTTTAATAGTGTTAAAAGTAATTTTTTTGCCATGTAGGATAATTATTTTATGTTTAAAAATAAATTATGTATAATAAGGATTAAATTATTAAATATGGAAAGTTTAAAGAGTGAGTCATAGGCGAGTCAAACATTCAAGAACTGAGTCATAGTGAGTCATAATTGAGGGATTAAATTACAAGTAAGTTAATAGTTGAAGGACCAAAAGACTAATTTTTCCTAATAATAAACATAAAAAATAATGATATAATTTAAGGTGTAAAAATAATACTCCTCCACTCCCTAATGAAGGACCTAATTGGAGAGTTAATATTAATCCTATATGTGAGACTTATCTCATATGTTTATTAAATTCTTTTTAAATTAACCCTATTGATATTCTCCTAATAATAATCAAATAGGAGATGAAGGAAAAAAAATTAAGAAAGATGGTTATGGTATTTTAGGAAAAAAAACATATTATATTAACTAATTTAACTAATATATTTAATGCAGCTTAATTAGTTAATTAGATCTAAATTAAAGAACGGAAGAGTATTACGTACGCTCGAGCAGTGTTAGAAATAGCAGCAGATTCAGCTATGAGAAGACCCCCTTTGGAAGTTCTTTGAGAGTAATATAAGATTGCATGCGGCTGAGGTTCATCACTGTAAAATCTCTGTCTAGTCAAGGGAGCCAAAACAATTCTGTACACCAAAAGCAAATGAAATTTCAATTAAAAAACAAAAAAAAAAATCTCTGATTCTTATTACAAAGCATATTTTAGAAGTATAAGGTCTTTATTATAAGGTCATAACTAAATAGGGGTATTAATTTCATTTTTCTAAGATTATCCCTCTCTAAAATTTCATTAATTGCAACTTCTATAACACGTTGGATGTAATTTATAATATTAAATATAGGTAAATTCAGAAGTTTATTTTATTTTTAGACTATTAAGTTAATCACCTCTCCTTGGTTTAAATGAAGTGACTAAGGGTATCCTATAATATAATAAAGATAAGAGAGATAGTATGTGAATTGCAATTCTAAAGACGAAGGTGGGAAAACAAAACTTGTGGACCATTTTGCCCTTATCTAAAACACTATTGTAGACCATTTTGCCCCTCCCTCCCTCTCTTCTTTCTTTCTTTCTTTCTTTCTTTCTTTCTCCTTTAGCGTCCTCTCTCTTCTGTCATCTCTAATTTCATTCTCAACAATATTTAATTGTAAGGGGCACTCTTGTCTGTTTTGCATCCTAATTAAGCTTATTCGTTTCATCATTTTGATATTCATACTACCAAACAAAAATTCAATTTGCTCTCTTGCTACGTACTAAACATCGGTTTAGGCCCAAAAATTCAATCTGTTAAGGTCAATTTCAGAACCCCTTTCCTATTTCAACTCCTTAAAAAAATCTTGGTTTCTCTTCAGTTGTCAATGTTTAGTCTAACTCGGGTAAAGCAGACTTATGAGTTCTGATCCATTTTAATGGTTGATTTAATGTCGATTATTAAAAACAAAAGTGCAATATTATATTACACTATAATTTTAAAAGATCATCTGCTGTATTGCTCCGCAATTTTCTTTGTTTCCTTGACTCCTTCAAAAATCTCTAAGAAAAACACACCTAATTAATCTAATCCACATGAACTTATAGCAGAAAAAAATGAAGAGATTCCTCGAGAATTTGAGTATATATAGATGCATATACCTATGTGATAGATTGAAATTTCCCATCTTGTATGGTGTAAGCAGAGGAATAACAGGCGCTTCACCAGCCATTATTTCTGCACAAAATAAACTATTAATAATGTTTTCTTCTCTCCAAATTTATCACGAAAATTAATGCAACACTTTAGGGGAATATATATATAGAGAGAGAGAGAGAGAGAGAGAGAGCTCGAACCTGCAAATGTATAGATGCTGTTGTCAAGTTGACTCTATTTAACATCTTTATATTTAGTACTACTTGACAGTTTCTCAAATAAGATTGTCTCTAATAAAAGAATATTTGTGTCTACTGCCTAGGAAAGAAAAAACTAGTATTAATACTATCTTTGGGTTTCATAGAAATTTTTATATCTGAGTATAATAAATTATGAATATTGATGAATTTAATTTCATGATTTGATACATTCTCATAATTTAATTTCATGGACTCCCCTATTAAACTTGCATTTTGAATATTTTACTTTTTTACTCTATAATATAATTGATTTTTATTTTAAAAAAAACATTTCAATGACTTGAATTTGATATATATTTAATCCAAATTGTCACCATTTTTTTATTTTAATCATTTAATCATTTAGTTATAATAACAATTTATTAATAAAAGTAAGTTGATAAATTCTTACGAGCAAGCTCATGATTTGAGTTTACCTCCTTATCACGAGTTTGCTAAAACTCGTAAGTTTGAGAATCTTTGGATACAAAATATGAATTGACAATCCACCATTAATTGACTATGGTGTATTTAAAATTTTTATTCAAACATAATCTTTATATAGAAAACCTTTGAATAAATTTATATACACCTTTGGTGCTTTGAAAGGAGCCGACGAAGGACTTAAAACAGATTTAGATAAAAGTATAGCGAGGAGGCATCTTAAAGTAGCACCCAAGCGCCATTTAGAGTCCCCATCATGCAGAGTGTTACCTTATGATTGAAATTGATTCTCTTTCCGATTCTTAATATATAAAAGTTAATTGAAGTTAGATTTCATTCTAAAATATAAGAAATCAGCATATTTCTCTATCATATTTATCATTTTGTTAAAACTAATTTATCTAACTGATTGATATATAATTTTTTTTTCTTTGAATTAGAGTGGGAAGCATTAAGGTCCTGACCCATTTGTTTTATACCCATGCATAGCTCATGGAACTCTTTAAATTTTTATTCTTGTCCTCCTTTCCCCCCATTTTCTCAGTATCATGAATCATATCAATTACCAGCAATCAAAGTATCATTTGCATACTATCAACAGTTTTATAACCTGGTGATATGAATGCTCATTTGTAAACAGGAGGTTGTGGGTTTGATCTTGCTTGTAACGTCAAGTTGACAGTGCTTGCATTTTATTCAAATCTCATTTTATAAATTGAATCTTTTCTAAAATGTCACTTGTGATGGAAATATTACGGCATAAAATTAAAAATATATCAAAATTAAAATGATTATCCGCATATTGAACCAGTCTAATTTTTTAATACTTGCAAAAAAAAGATCCAGATTAGTAAATTTCATGAACTTTCAAGACCCATGTGTTTGGTTAGAGACCTCTATGTTTTTTTTTTCGGTACAAAAATTTTTAGGTAGGAGTCCAAATTCAACCCAAGCCATAAGACAAGGATGCTTGATCTAGCTCCCTATAGGTGATATCATGTTGAGCAGGGAAAGCCTACAACAGACTCTCAGGCGTTTACCTTGGCACCCCTTAATCTATAATGCCTCTTAAGCCTTGTGATGGGGAATCGAATTTTCCTCCCTTTTTGGTGAGAGGATGCAGCTTACTGACCCCATAAATGATTGGTTATGGGCTTCTTATATAAATGAAGTGGTTTAATTCCAACACAAAATTTAGTAGGAGATGTGACCAATGACCCAACAACAATAACAATAAGCCCAAACTCAATGATCAGTCCACGCCAACAGCAAGGCCTCCAAGAACATGCAAATCCAAGAATGACACTTTTAGTGCCCTGAGGACCTCAGGTTGACTTTGAATGGCTCAATGAATACTGCCTCTAACTCTAAATATAAGAGATAGATAACTAATTTATAAATATTAAAAAATTAGTTAAATTAATTATTTGTAAAAATGTGTATTGATTTCCTTAAGATAAGATGTTTAATCATTTGCACTGAAACTAACTTCACATGGAAACTTTCCCTTAATATATGTAATATTATATTTAGAACTAAAACAAATCTCCTAATTAACTTTTATATTTAGAACCAAAAGGATTCAAAGGAGTACCATTTTGAGCTTGAGAAACAATCCAATTAGTACAGAAATTATCTAATAAAAAATTTCCACAACAAACAAAAGGGTTGGAATAATCAATATTGTCATGAACAAACAAATCTTAGGTTTCAAGTTAATACATGTGGAATGGTATGAAATCCTCTCTCGTACAAATGCTTTTGATAAATTCAATGCCATATGGAAGTTATTGTTTACCAATCTTTCAAGAAATAAACCGATGTGCCTTAGTCAATTAATCACTTATTAGGGGGCATTTGGATGAAAATCAAACTATGGTTTTAGAAGTGCTTTTATGGTAATAAAGTAAATATGTGGAGAAGTCTGTCTTATTTTACGGAAAAGTGCTTTTAAAAAACACTTTTCTAGGTTCCTAAACACCCCCTTAATCAAATTAAGATTTATTAAACATTCAATTAAATTAAGATTTATTCAACATGGTACAGGTTAACTGCCAGATAAAACAACGTGAATTTCATTAGATTCAAATTAAGGGCAGATTTTCTCGATAGAGGAACCTTCACCACAGATTTTTTGAGAACAATCATATGGCCTTGGAATGATTTCATTTTCAAGGTTTGAAAAATGTTTGCGAACAATAATAGCGCACAATAGGTGGAAAGCACCAATGGACTAAATTGGCCCTTTAAATGGAACTCATAACAGAACAGTATAGACGCCCTTGTCAGTTCAATCCCTCAAACCATTTTAGATTATGTTCATTCATTGTGCCTTCACATTTTGGCTAATTCAGGTCCCTGAAAACGACAGATTCCCTTCACCAAGTCAATTTTTGTCTTCCAGCCCATTACAGAAGCAAGCAACATTCTCTCATATATCTTTATACATGCATGTAGGGTATCAAAATATATATGTGTGTGTTTGTGTGTGTTTGTGTAGTATGTATATATGCATGCATGTTTACCTATATATGTATGTATATGACAGAAAGATCACAAACATGTGATTGGACAAAACTCAATTAATATAGGGTTATGGTGCAAATTTGTCTGGATAGTTTAAGATCGTGACAATATTAAAAAACTAATATTGACTATTACAATAGTGACATTAATCGTTAACATTTTTAAACTTATAGGACACATTTGCTCTCAACAGAATTACAAATGCCCAATTCTTCTAAATAAAAACTTTTCGGGCAAATTTGTACCTTAACCCATTAAACATGCCATGCACCTAATTAATGAAATCATATGTTAGGTTCATGATTTGCTTATCTATATTCATCGGCTGAAAATATACTAAAATAACATTAAAATAATCAAATTGACACAAATCTCAAAACAACTATATCTGGTTTATCGTTTAACCCAACATGCAATGAAGCTTCCTTCATGTATATCTTATTCCTCCAGTATTTAATATAAGACTTAATTGGAGAATTGATGTTAGCTATATATGTAAGACTTATTTCACATGTTATCAATTTTTTCCAAATTAATCATATTAATATTTTCTTGACAATAATCAAGTAGGAGAGGAAAGGAGGGCAATTAAAGAAGTTACTTGTGAAGGTTTAGAAAAAACATATTACATTAATTAATTTAATTAACTGACATTCTTAATCTACTCAAATTGGTTAATCAGGTAGGAGTATAACAAATTCATGTATCTTCATACTTTACCACGCGTGTTTAATTAAGCTTCTATTGGTTGTGACTTGTGAGAGCATGCATATGGATTTGAATGTGTATTCTTAAGACTCCATTTTTACGGCCTCAACATATGTATACTAACATTATGGACTTTTAATGTATCAAATTGAAGTCTAAATGCTCTCTCTCCATAGCCTAACCTACTAATTCTTTCACCTTCTATCAGACTTCTAGTTGTTGAGCCTTCAATTCTATTATTCTCTATAAAATATCTTAGAATTGATTAGACTTGACTTTTCTCACATGACATGGTCACATTCTTGATGACTGTGCTGCCTATGATGTGGCTGCCATGGGTGATGCCACCTTGTCCACAATATGGGATTCAAATGCCATGCTAGATGCCACGTAGGATGCTAACGTACTGGGGTCATATCATCTTAGCCCTTAAGCAAGTACTACTTCTAGTACTAAATATAAGATTCATTTTGTAACAGAAAGAGATTAGTTTTTACTATCAATAGATTATATTCTTTGTCCATATCAAAAAGAAAGCAAAGGAAATAAAAAGAAAAGAAGGTTAATTAAAGACAAAAGTTAATTATTCTTCGCTTACAAGCTTCCAAATTTAGATGCTAAATATCCTATAAATAGTTCTGACTATATGAGACCAATTAACCAAATATTGTTTGGAATGGTTTGTATAGAGAAACCCTATTATTAGTGAACCTCCACCTATATGTTTATATTCATGATGCTGCTGCCACTTTTTCCTTTTTCTGAATGGACAAGGACAATTCTTTCTCTTACACCCCTTTTCCAAATTTAAGGAGGATAACACTTTTATTTATATTATCACCTTATTCATAATATTCTTGTCAAGATGGCTTCTCGTAAAATTAAATTAAAAGCAACCTTTCAAGTCTAATCATCTTTTTTTGGGTGAATCAAGTCTAATCATTTTTTGGTCAAAAAGAAAAAGAAATTTATTCTTTTATAAAATAAAAAAATGAGGAATAATTTGTTTAATGTAATCAATTTTTAATAATAAAATCATTTGAAAAAGTTATATCTTCATTTTTTATCTTCTATCTGGATTATAGACTCAGTGTTGTTTTATTTTTATTTTTTTTGTCGGTATAACAGTATATAATGCTAAACACGAAATGTTTTATCTACTTATTATACAATTCTCTCATTAAAAACAATAAATAAATATTTTTTTACAGTTTAACAGCATTTTATTAAAATCGAATCAAAACATTCTTTATATCTATCATGTCAAGTTCTCCAATTACATATGGCAATGCTTCCTATTTTTAAAATATTATTATTAAACTATAAATCAATGTAAAAAAAATAGAACACATGATATATCAATGTGATTGAAAAATTTGATATAAATAGGTATAAAGAATTTGATGTAAGTATAATTTTGAATGAAAAGACTTGAGGCCAAATTAAATACATAAAATTAGGCGGACTCCTCTAAAATTATTTTGTGCAACTTCCAAAGGATGTGCGTGTGTGCATGTATGTATATGCATGCATATGTATAACGTATGTGTATTTGTGTTTGTGTGTATGATGCTACCAAACCAGATTCTAGCAATGCCGACTCATATAAAAACAGCTCTCTTGGTCCAATTTTTTTTCCACATCCTACAAGCTCTGCTTGAAATTTAATTAATTACCGTTAATTTGATCACAATTTGACCATAACTGGATTATTCACAACCCTTCTAGTAATTTTTTATATATATTAAATAACGATTTAAAAATATTGATAATAACAGTACCTACATTAAAAAATAAGGCTAAATTATATAAATTTTCCCTTAACTTAGAATCATGTGCATGATTAAATAACACACTTAATTAACTTTTAAATTTCATTATAATAAACCCCTTAAACTTTCAAATTTATATAGTACGAGATTAAATAAAACAGTACACAAACTGTTAGTTTTATACTTTCAAACTTTAAGTTACATGTAGAGAAGCCCCTTAAGATTTAAGTTATTTGTAAATAAATAATGAACAAAACTAATAGTATGAGAGTTATCTATGTAAATGTAAAGGTTCAATTAGGTTTATTATTGACCTTTAAGGGTTAATAAGGCTATCTACACTTCCTCTTCTCTACCCCTTATTCCCTTCACCATCGTTAGATTAAAATTCCAACGATTCATACTTTACAATTTATAAATTATTATTATAATTTTACTTAAAAAAATATATACATAAATTTAAAATTTTAAATTCTATTTGAATAGTTCACAAATGTGGTAAAAAAAATATAAGAAGAAAATATACTTTATAATAATAATAATAATAATAATAATAATAATAATAATAATAATAATAATAATAATAATCTATAGTGTCAGCTCTTCGGATCATCAAATTTTAACAGTTAAAAATTATTTATGTATCATTCAAGTAAAATTATAATAATATTTAGAGTTAATATAATTTTTTCCTTTGAAATTTATGTCTATTTTGGTTTTGGTCCCTTAAATTTAAAACAGCTAAAGTATATATTTGTCCTTTAACTTTATATAAAATTTTAGTTTGGTTCCTTAACTTTAAAAAATATATTTTTAGTCCTTTAACCCTAAAATTGTTAGTCTTAAATGATATTTTTTATAAAAATCATGGTTATTTTAAATATTAAACTTAATACGTTAGCATTTGGTAATATTTTATTAGTATTTAAGAACTCAATATCATTATTTTTTGTTAACATTTTTGGGGTTAGAGGACTAAAAATTTACTTTTAAAGTTAAGAGACCAAAATAAAACCTTATGTAAAAGTTAAAAGACTAAAAGTATAATTTAGCCAATTCAAAACTCATAGTTTTAGTCCCTGAAATTTAGTTCTTCTTAGGATATTAGTTCTTGGAGGCACAACAGTGTTAAAATCTGCTAAATTTTCATAAGTGGCGTTAATGTGGTGATGTGGTTTTATTAGGTAGCACTTAGCTGGATCTTGTGTGGGTAATAAAGAGGGAAAAACAAAGAATAGGTCCTTAAATTAGCCCCTTTTTTTCCTCGTTTTTCATTTGGGAAGCTATTCATTCCGCTGCATTTCAAGAACCCTTCTCCCTCCATACAATCTGTCATCCGCACAAGATCAAGTTACACACTATCTAGTGAGTCCACATTACCAATTTAATGCCATTTGTGATAGTTCATCAGATTTTAATATTGTTATATTTTTAGGAACTAGCATTTTAAGACAGACTAAATTTTAGGGATTAAAACTATATTTGAAATTTGAGAGACCAAACCCAAAATAGACCCAAATTTAAGGGATCAAAAATTATATTAACCCTAATATTTACATAAAATGAAATATAGAACATTCAAATTTTAATCAAATGATAATGAAAAGAAAGGAGGGTAGAAATTGAGGGGGGGAAAATCATAATGCGTGGGAAAGAAAACAAAATTTTCCGTATTTGGTGCGAATATACACCTGGAAGGATGCATCATTTGGCTCAAACATTTACTTCTTGCATGAGTTATTGGCAAGAAAACCCATTCCGGCCACCTGGTCCTTTTCTTTCTCAGAACTTTTCTTTTTCTCTTTCTCTCTCATTCAGTCATTTAAAGGATCCAAAAAGAAAGCATCGCTATAAATACAGCAGAGAAGCAAGTGGAAGAGATTAAAAGCTTGGTTAGCTCAGCTATATATATATATATATAGACACACACAGTCTGATCGATATTTTCCTGGAAGCTTAAGTATCAGCTCAGCTGTAGAAGTGGGAGGAAGTTCACAGATATATTGAAGAAGGTAAAGCTTTCTTCTTGTTGTTTTTTCCTTTTATTCTGTTCTTATTATGAAAGAAAACCCTCGTCAAGGAACAAAGCAATAATTAATCAAACCCTTGATGATGATGATGAGCTCAGTTTCGTGTCCAAGCGGTTCATCTTTTAGATCTATTGGCAGACCCATAATAGAATGTTCTTTTTCTTCCCTCTCTGCGAGATCTTAATGTGTTTTCCCTTCTATTATTTCTTCGTCTTATTATTTTTTTCAGTTATTTTCCCGGACATCTATCCATCTGCTTTCCCAGAAACAGAAAACAAACAAAAGTCTTCACTCATCACTCATCGATTCCCGTTGCTCCAGTTCCCGATACTCACTCTGCACCAAGCTTTTGTTGTTTTTTTTTCTCCTTTCAAAAAACCGTCGAGGCAAAAAGGGTTTGATCAGTCTGATCAATATTCTTATGTTCAAACTTTGCATGATTTTGTGTTTAAAAGCAAATACAGATGTCCAGTTTTTCTGCAGAATTCTTTCACATATTCAAATCTGTGACGTCCCTAAAGTAGAGTTTTTCTTCGCTAGGAAAGCTAAGAGAAATAGGGTCAAAACTCAAACACACTCGCACGAAAATCAAAAGGTGACGCATATATACATACACACTACTATGTATCTGTGAACCATCTTGTTTTGTTTTTCCTTGAGATCTAGCTGGATTGATTTTGGTTTAGCTTGTAACAAAGGAAAAAGGGATGAATCTGAGAGAGAATATATATATATATATATATTGCAGATGGGGAGGGGGAAGATAGAGATAAAGAGGATAGAGAACACAACGAATCGACAGGTGACATTCTGCAAAAGAAGGAATGGGCTTTTGAAGAAAGCTTATGAGCTTTCTGTTCTCTGTGATGCTGAAGTTTCCCTCATCGTCTTCTCCAATCGTGGTCGTCTCTATGAGTACTCCAACAACAAGTAATTCTTCTTCCATCATTCCCTATTCACTATATTCTATCTCTTACACATTTTATATCTATATATATATTGAGTTGGATATATATATATATATATAATAGTATATTATTGTGTTTGATGTTGATATAGCTCATCTTCAGAATCGTAAATTATTTTTTCCCAGAGCCTTCCTGAATGGGGGGTGCGCGTGTGTGCGTGTGTGTCTGTGTCTGTGTTTGTTGGTGTGAATGTAGAAGATGTGAATGGAACTGATCAATCTGTTGTTATTTTTATTTTCTTTTTTGCAAGACAGGAGCTTGTTTTGGTATAGGAGAGGATGAGAGGGGAATAAGTGAAGTTAAGACTTGAGACAATAAATTTTTGATAAAGGGAATTTAATTTCTTTATTTAGTTTCAATGTGAACATTATTCTTAATTTTTCCTCTTCTGAAATTAATATGCATAAGGTGAGAAGAATGGCAGAGAATTTTTTAAAAAAAATCATTTCAATTAAAATTTTTTTTTAAAAAAAATTCTTGTTCTTCTATTCTTGTGTCAATCCAAAATGCCTTGAGTGTCCTCATTAATTATAATTATAATTATCTTCTTCTTAATATCTTCATGCTTTTCTGATTTAGTCCTACCATTCTGATCTAATTTCCCGATTCATTTCTATCCATTTTTCTCAATCCACTCAAACTTTAAAATTCTAAACTAATTACAGCAAATTTTCCTTGATATATAGCTTGATGAACCCCTGTTTCTGATCACTCTTGATTTGTTTTCAAACAAATGTTTGGTAAAATAGTGTAAAAACAAATTGATACGGATGACCTTGGCATTCTTCTTAGTTGATGTCTGACCCAAAAAAAAAAAAAGGTTTCTTGATATTGTGTAATCATCATGTTAACAAAACTACAGGCCATTTAATATCATTCAATACTTTTCCCTACTGAATCTTTGGCTCTACATTTGTAAAACATAATTATTTGTCATCACTTTTCAGTAACATAATCAAGATGCATGCATGCTTTTGGAAAAACCCTAGTGTGAGATATATGAAATCTTAACCTAATCATCAAGTTTGAATTTTGAAAAAGAATAGTCATGTTCACATATATACATATATACATTGCATGATCTTTTGTGTCTGGGTTTGGATTCTTTCTTACCGAGACAGAGAAGAAAGTTATACCAGTTACTGTTTACTTCATTAATAATTATTATTACCGCGATCATGAAGCTACAGAAGCTAATAAAGGAGAAAAAGTCAACAAAACTTATAACTAAATAACCTTTCTGACTTTTCATGCATATGGGAGAATGAACAGGAAAAGTTGACACTCTTGAGAAAAACAAGACTTTGTCTTCTTTGATGATGGCTATATCGTGGAGAGAGAGAGAGCCAGGTGTAGCTACAATGAAACAAAACAAAAATTTAAAAATTGGTGACGCACAGTTATTTGTCAATGTCTTTCACAAAGGCTTAATTATACATGATTCTCTTGAACTTTATTAATTTTATTTTATTTACAGAGAATTTTTCTGAACCTTAAAACTTCATAATGAACTCCCTTAAACTTTTATGTATGTGCATATAACACCCCAGTGATTAGTTTTGCTCATTACTTATTCACACGCACCATAAAGTTTAGGGGTTATTTGCAGATAACTCGGAAGTTTGAGGGTATCATATGCACATAATAAAGTTTTCAGGGAGTATATTATTGATGGTTGGGATTGTTATTTGCACAAACTTGATCGGTCAAGGAGATTTATTATTGGCTAAAGTCTACTTTTAGTCTTTTAACTTTATACAAAGTTTCACTTGGTTCTTGAACTTTAAAAAAAAAAAAACTTTTAATTCTCTAAACCTAAAACTATTAACAAAAAATGATGATATTGAGAATGCTAACATATTAAGTTTAATTTTCAAATCAACAATTATTGTTATAAAAATTATCATTTAAGACTAATAATTTTAGGATTAAAAGTATATTTTTTAAAGTTAAGGGATCAAACCGAAACCTTGTATAAAGTTAAGAGACTAAATATATATTTTAGTCTTTATTATTAAGTTTTAAATATCAAAGGGGTTATATCTATACATCATCCAAATTCAAGGAATTTTAAGTAACTTAGCTGTTCACAAATTATTCATAAGAAATTCCATTTGTGATAGATATTTATTTATCATATTAAATCAAATCACTCACAAAAATCATGCAATGTCTCTATTCAATTTGCTTTTGAACAGTGTCATAAAATGAGTCATAAAACCAATTTTTGATGACTACATCTACGTGCATGTTTCTTGATATTTTGAATGGAACTTTCATTTATTTTTTGTAGTATGTGAGTTTTTTTATGGCAAAGAGTTTGAGAAATAAAACTCACTTTCATGATTTATTAATGATGCTTGCAACAGAGTTCATTTATAATGTGTGTACATATATTTATAGGATAAGTGTGCATCCACCACCTTAAATGTTAGGCTGCTGGATGCAACTAAAAAAATAATAACCGGGTGCTAAATGTACCCAAAAAAAAAAGATCAGGGTACTAAATACACTGTAAAAAAAATTGGGATGCTAGATATACCTGAAAAACAAGATCAGGGTGTTGGATATACTTTTACCCTATATGTATATGTATATTTGATATTGATGATTCTCATGAAGAAACCAACTTGTGTTCTGCCTCAACTTACAGCTTTTTGAAGATCAGTTCTTTTTTTCTATTCATGGATTTCAAAGTCATCGAGTGTGATGATTTCAGTTGTGTTTAGCTCTTACCTCTCATCCCTCTAAATGTAACTTCTAAGTTTTACTCTATTCTCATATTTTGCAAGAGTGAGACGATTATCATTTTTTTTAGTTGATAGGATATTCCATCATATATGATTAAATATCTTTCTGACACAAACCCAGAAATGGAGTGTAAGTGTGTGGAATATAACTCGCAGAGTTTCACCGATTAAGTAATAGAAGAAATGTTATAATCTGTATGATGAAATGTTCATCACTTCCCAACAATGTCCTTTTATATTATATACTGAGAAGTTTCTGTCACGTATATATCTGATTCGCATGCTCTTCTACGTACAATCGCTTTCTGTTTCTGGGTTTTGTGTGTAGAGAAGTCCATTCTTTTGTTTGAACTGTTTTGTGAAAAGAAATTGTTAAAGATCTTTTTCCTTGTGTTCTTTACCTGTCTGCGTCTGCCTAGGGCTATTACTTTCACATAATTTGATCTTTTCATTTGACAGTGTCAGAGTTACGTTGTTCATAACTTTTCAATAACCTTTCTGCGTCTATATATATATACTTTCATATATGTGTGTAAATTTGTAGTCTGTTCCAGTTCATATAGTTAGTTGAGTTTTATTTTGGATTGTCTGCTTTATGGGTTTGAATCTATCTACTAAAATTATGATCAGATTATTCCTAATTAACCCATTTTTTGCCTTTTGATACGTCAACTTTTTTGGGGGAAAAAATTATATTGGAAACAGCATTAGGTCAACTATTGAGAGGTATAAAAAGGCATGTTCAGATCATTCAAGTACCAGCTCTCCCACTGAAATCAATGCCCAGGTATATTATAATATTGCATATAACATACTACTTACCATCCTAAATATATATATAATAGTTGAAAATTTAATTCAGTCTTAAATATAAGACGTCAATATACTTAATCTCTTGTATTTATTCATTTTTCCTCAAAATAGTCTTTATGATAAATTTTTCATTATAATACACATGATTAACAATACCCATTTATTACAAATAACTAACTTAACTAATTTTCTTAATATTTGCAAATTAGTTAGAGGGTTTTTTTTTTTTGCTTGATTTGATTTTTAGTTTGATTTATGTACAAGTTAAGGAGGAAGTAGATGAGAATGGAGATAGGGTTTTGATGCTTGCATTATGATGCTCGGACGTCATACACAAACACATATGCACTCATGATCTTGGTTGGTTAATTAACTGATTAGTTCATTAATGAGATCTTAATTTGTTGGTTTTTCAGTATTATCAACAAGAATCTGCAAAGCTACGACAACAGATTCAGATGCTGCAAAGTTCTAACAGGTGATTTCCTATTATTTCCCCTCCTTTCCCAACCATCATTATATGTCTTCAAATAAGGTTTCCATGCAAAAATAATAATGAGCAATTAATTAAATGTGAATATAATCTATTAATTAAACCCTCTTAATTATTTTTATAGCATACATAAATAAGAGTAATCCTAATAATGTATCCATACATACATAGCCTCCATATATTGCTCCTTGAATCTATACCTATTATGTGTATTAAACATATTCCATCTCCATGACTAATTAATAAGCAAGAGCCACGGCTTTCCCAGGTTTTCAATATTTTTTCTAAACATTACAAAAGTGTTATACATGTCCAGCTTTATGAGATTTTATCGAGGGTCGTCCAGACTAATCCAGATCGAGTTGAAACTTGAGACTTCTGGTAATGCTGATACAAGCCCTTATCAGTTAAACCAAGTACTTGGTGGTTGTTGTATGTCATATTCAGCCTACTGCACAAACATGAATTTCTATGGCTAAGTACATATATAGAGACATATCCAACAAATAGGAGCACATAAAGATATTTGAATATAGTTATAAAAGAACCCTAGCTAGATCACGAGGTTTTATATTGAACTATTGATATAGATGATTTCATTTAATTATATTGTGACAATTAATGCGTATGAATTTCTGAATGTGAGAAGGCATTTGATGGGTGATGCCTTGAGCAATCTGAATGTGAAGGAGCTGAAGCAGCTGGAGAATAGACTTGAACGAGGCCTCTCTAGAATCAGATCCAAAAAGGTAATTTTACCAAGTTGTGTGTGTGTGTGGATGCAATGAAATAGAGGGAAAATAAATAAATAAATGCAATGCCACCAAATGGCCTTTAGACTTGAACAAGGGATCTCCAGAAATCAGGTCTAAAAAGGTAATTTTACCTACTCAGCAAATTATATAAACAAACAAATAAATCAAGCATAGATGTCATAAGAAATATTTATATGTATGTGTGAATGAATTTGGAGAACATTGTAATTAAGAAAAATAGTTAGTTCAATTTGATTATATTCATTTGGCCAAAAAAAAACATTGATTATTTTCATTATTATATCAAGTTTTCCAATTATAAATAGCTATGCATGCGTCTTATTTTATTCATGAGTTTATAATTAAATGATAACATTTCAAAAATAGAATACATAATTATATGTGATTGAAGAATCTAACATAATGAATATTAAAAACTTGATATAAGTATTGTACTTTAATTAAATTGAACAGCATTTGTGATATATATGTGTGTGTGTGTGTGTGTGTGTGTGTGTGTGGGTGTAACACTCTTGGACTACAAGTTAAGTTTGGAAATGTGCAATTCATTTTTTTTTAAAATTTAATTTATTAAACAAAACAAAAAATTTAACGTGCCTAGTTATGTAATGCAAGTCATATATATATATATATGGCCTACGTAGTGTGACTTCAATTTCGCTTTCCTATCAGTTTTTTCTTTTAAAAAAATGGCTTTTAATTTACTTGAGTGATTATTGTAAATTAAATTTAATTAATTACTGTTTTTTTCTTTATTCATTCGTTGTTCAATGCGGATGCCATAGCACGAGATGCTGCTGGCAGAAATCGAATACATGCAGAAGAAGGTAATAATTAATTGGCAATTCAATTTTCCCTTTTTCTTATTATTCTTGAAATTTAAATTTAATTTATTATTCTTTGGTATACATACATACATATATATATATATATATATATCCTTCGATACTTTTCTTGACTGATGATTTGCAATAATAATGACATATATAGGAAATTGAGCTTGAAAATGAAAACCTTTGTATTCGAACCAAGGTACGTACTGATGATATCCAAATTCAATTTATTGTCATGTATTTTATTTTATGAATTATAATGCTTGCTATTTTTTTTTTTGATATCATATAAAATTCAATTTATTAATGATTAATTAAACGAACATATACATCTTCTAAAAATTGACTTTCCTATTATACAAGCAATTTATTTTCAAACTTATAAGAATTTCAACAGTAAATAAATGAGAGGTTATTATATATATTGGAAGTTACACATACCTTCTTTATTCTATTGCTAGGAAACAATTTTGTGTCCTTTAAAAATAATATAAGGCAAGTTATCCTGCTTTAAATAAAGGCCAATACAAAATATTGTAATTTATTATTTGTTTTAATGCAAAACCTATGCGGGTTTCTGAAAATAAAGTAAATGATTATATAATTCCAAAAAAACATAGATAATAAAACCTTGAAAAGAAATCTATGTAATTTATTATTCGTTATTTATTTGTAATTAGCTGGCTTAACATAATCCTAGTCATGTTGTTTCTTCTTCAGCTATATATGTTTTGTTTAGCAGACAGAAAATGACACGTTTATTTGAACTATATGAAATTCAATACAAAGACATAATATATGTGTGTGTGTGAAAAATCTTAGGTAAAGTTCCTTATATCTATTATTTTAAGTTCTCCAATCACATATGGTCATGTGTCTTTTTTTTTTGGATTTATAATTAAATGCTAATATTTTAAAAATAAGACACATGGCCACATGTGATTGGAAATCGAACTTGACATAATGGATAAAAAGAACTTGGTGTAAGTATTGTCCATATATATATATATTTGCAAGGGAAGTATATGGTGTTTATATATATAATTAAATCTTGATCGTCCACACTAAATTTAAATAGTTGAGATTTGATAATTATAAGATACTTTGGTTCCATGTATATAAGGTTTATAGTTTATTTGAATTTCTTCTAATATAACCGTAAAAAATAATGAATCATGAAAAGATTTCTTTATGTTACAATTTATATATATGTGTGTGTATACAGAAGGAAGTTTGAATTAGAGAGAATCCCAGAAAAAATACCTTTGAATTTCAAAATTTTAAATCGGTCTTATTTATTATATTTTAATAACAATTGATAACATTTGAAAAGCAAATGACAACGTATTTTTATAGTCATGCTTGATTTGGGATTTTCAAATTTTTGAGGTATTTTTTTGGGATTCTCCGTGTGAATGAATTAGTATTGAAATATGAGAATGAATATATAAATGAGCAGATAGCAGAAGTGGAGAGGGCAGAAGAAGAAGCGATGGCAACAGGAGGGCAGGATCTGAGTGCCATTCAGGCTTTGGCTTCTCGAAATTACTTCATTCACGCTCTTCATCCTTCTCCTTCTCACAACAAGAATCTAAGCCTTGGGTATTATATTCCTTCATTTCTACTTCCATTAATTCATTCATTCATTAATTCTCTGAGCTAGTCTCAATTAATTTATTAGTTTCCCCCTACCAATATTCATGGGTTTTCTTAATTAATTCATATGAATTTCTCTCTTAGACTATGAGCCCCATGCCTTTCACAAAATAATTATTAATTACGAGTAGTTTCCTAGCATTATTTTAGTCTAATTCTTAGAATATTTTACTGAAAACCACCTTCCACTAGTTAAAATTGATTTACACACACACACACACACACACATATTCAGGTTAATAGGGTATTATACTTTAATAAACAGGATCAGATTGGTATCAATAGTAAGTGGTTGATAATTCAATTTTGAGTATTTATGTAAGTTTTGAAAGTAAGGAGTAAAACTCTGTATAGTTTATTCAAAATTAAAATTAAACTAATGTGCAGAGATGTTTAATTTGTATCATTTTATTAAAAAACTTTTTTAAAAAACAATAAGTAGTCTACTCAAAATTTAACTCAACAATTAAACTCGATTTACTTGATTCTGATAGAAATGACATCAGGAGAGCACAAAAAAATGAACATGAGTACTTAGCTAGCTCTTGATGTCCCTATTTCAGTCTTTACTATTTCATTGATGGCCTCGTTAAAATAAAGTTCTAATGAGAGTTTTTAATTATCTTCCAATTAATATATATGTGTTTTTGTTTTTTTTTCCCTATAATGCAGGTAACTAACTATATGATAGAGATAGGAGAATATTAAAGCATTACAAGTGCTGCAGAAGAAGCTAAGTAATATATAGTTTTGCTTTATGCATGTGCCAAGCTTCGTAATATTTTGATCAGTGCAATAGTTAGCGCATATATATATATATATATATATATATATGATGTCATATGAATTGATGCTACCTATGTAACAAAAACAAAACTGGATCAGTCCCTTTGTATGCAATCATGAATATTGTTATACTAAATATAACTAAATATAACATGTACTAGATCCAGATTAGTCTTGTTTGTAATTTTCTGAGAGGTTAGTCAAGATATTGAGTGCATATGCAAAAAATATAACGTGTGTTGGATTGATCTAAATTAGTATGAATCGTGATCAGGTGGTTTGGTGGCAAATATGTATACACACGTAAATAATGTGTGTGATCTGAATATTGGATAATAACTGAGTACCTTGTCTATATACCATAGAGCATACACCATTCTATGACTTGGATATGTCTTAATGCACTTTAGTTCAAGTGGAGAAAGAGGGACACATAATGGCTTTGTTTAATACTACCTCCTGTCCTAATTATAAAATCTTATTTGTAGTTTACAAACAAAGTCTTATAATTAAGATCGGAGGTCTTAATTAAACAAACCATTCTATGACTTTGATCTGCTTAATGCACTTTAGTTCAAGTGGAGAAAGAGAGACACATAATGGCTTGTTTAATACTACCTCATGTCCTAATTATAAGATCTTATTTGTAGCTTACAAATAAAGTCTTATAATTAAGACCAGAGGTAGTATTGAAATTGATTTTGACATATAGATATGAATATGAAACTGGAAATTGAGTTTAAAAGTGTCTTTGACAACATGGTTAACAATTCATGCTATGATACTAACAAGTTTAGTAATGCAATTAGCAACATGTTCCGCAGGAAATTGTGAAAGTTGGATTTTTTTTTTAAAGAAAAAAACTTCAGTAACAAGGTTAATAACTCTCATAATATTAACAACTCTAATTATGTATTCACCATGTAATTTGAGAGGTATTTCGATTTTGATAGATTTTTGAGTGCCTAATAAATTGTGAATTCTTCAACTTTTGCAACATGATTAACAAATTATATAACGATATTAACAAGTTTGATAACATAATGAATAACTTGCATTGTTTTCAAAACATTTTCATAGAATGAGCACAAATGATGTAAGGGCACTGTGGTCATTTCATCAAATTTCAAAATTTTTATTTAGTTATGTGTGACAAAAATAGAATTTCTCTTATTGAAGTGACTATTTGGGATTTTCCAAATTGAATTATCATTTTTTTTTTACCGTTTTCCCATAACTTTATCACTTAGAGGGGCCCAATAGTTTATGTATCACTTTACTTCATTTAAGTAAAATGAAATTATCTTCATTTAAGTAAAATGAAACATAAAATGGCTATAGTCTATTATAACATCACGTATCAAAATTTGATTTTTTTTTAAAATATTTATATTTAATGTGTGACAGTACCTAAAAATAAAATTGCCCATAATAAAAATATATATATGTGTGTGCGCGCGCGCAGCTAAAAAAATCATTGATCTCAATATCAGACACTGACCCCAAAAGTCCCAGATTCCTAGCCCATACTGCAAAGCCTTATCCACTTATGGGTGTCATATAATGTGGCCGACTTTTGCCCAAAAGACAAAAATTAATGTGGCCGACTCATCACCAGCAGTGATCGTTTCAACCGAAGAAATTTTTCCCACAACTTATTTTTTAAAATCTTTTTTATAAAATACAAACAATTAAATTGTGCGGATAAAAATGTAGATGAAATTCATTAAATATATTAAAAATGCAAACTATTTTTTTAAAAAAATACTCATACCTCTCTCATGTAAATAATGGCTATGGTCCATAGGAAAAATTAATTAATGATGTCTAGATGACTAATACAGTATTAATATAATAATTAGTGAGAGTAAAAAGAAACAATAATACTCGTATTAAATATTTCAAACATATTGTTAGAGTCTATTGTAAATACGTAACAACTAATAAGTCAAAAAAATTCTCTTATAAAAAAGAATTTAAAATATTAAATATCATGTTTTCACTGTTTATATAAAATTTCATTTTAATTTTTAATTTTAAAAAGTATTTTTTTGCTCTAATAATAAAGTTATTAAGAAAGTGTGCTAATATTAATATTTAGGCGGTGACAAACATTATTATACGCTGACATGTTAAGTTTAATTTTTTAAAAATAACAATAATTGACACAAAAAATCATTATTTAATACTAAATAGTACTACCTCCGGTCTTTAATATAAGACCTTGTTTGACTTTTATTTTGATTCTAAATATAAGACCCCAATCTACTTTGTCTCTTATATTTATTTATTTTTTTCAAGATAATCCTTCTAATAATGGTAGTTCTAGATAACAAACTTGATTAGTAAGGATACTTTAGAAAAAATAAAACCTATTCATTATAAATAACTAATTTAGCTAAGTTTCTTAATATCTCTAAATTAATTAACTGAGTTTTATGATTAGGATCAGATATTAGGATTAGAGCATAGACAGTATTTTATAAAATTAAAAGATCAAGCCCAAGCCCTACATTTTTTTGGCCAACGAAACCCAAAGTCTATGTAAAGTTAGAAGATTTAAATTTTCAAAGGTAATCAAATTTTATGTTTGCGTTTTTTAAATATCTAAAAAACTATCTTTTGTAGTTTTTTTTAACCTCATCATCCTAAATTTCAAAACGATACTACATATTTTGTAACATTAGTAATATTAAAATTTAAAAGTTAAGTTGCGGAGATCAAATTCAGATCGCTGGTTAAAAAAAAAAAAATCAGGGTCAGATCAATATAAGGGGTATTTGGATATAAATCAAACCATAATTGTAAAAATACTTTTATGGTTTACGAAGTAAATATGTGAAAGAATTTGTCTCGTTTTATGAAAAAATACTTTTTAGAAGATTTTTGAGCATTCTCAAATATCCCCATAGTTGATGAAAAGTTTTCTGGCTCCAATTGCCACCCGCGTGGACCAAACAAAAGTGAGAATAACAGTCGATGTGGGGTTTGCCGTACACTGCCCTCAAGTCTCCAACCAGACTTTAAAATTTAGAGAAAATTACAATTAAATCTTAAAAAAAAAGAATTAATTACTTAAAAATCCTAAAAAATGGAGAATAACAAGTTTTATAACTTGTTTTGTAATTTTTTTTTTAAAACCTCATTATAATTCTCTTTAAAATTTAAGGAGAATTACAATCAAGTCTAAAAAAAAACTAATTACTAAAAAGTCTTAAAAACAGTCAAGAAATAACAATTTTTATGAGTTATTTTGTAATTTTTTTCTTCTTTAAGTCCTCATTATAATTCTCCTTAAAATTCATTATACTACTAACTCACCCAATTGATTTCATCTTTTCGATCAAAATAAATAAATATATAAATAAATAAATAAAAGATAGAGTTGCAATAAATTCTAAAACGAGAATGTAAATACTAAAAGACGTAGAAGAGGACAATTAATCACTAATTATTGAGATTTATTAATAATTATTTTTTTTATGACTTTGTTGTAATTTCCCTAAACCCATAGACGCCGAGTCCTTTCATATTCTTAAGCCCCGAAACGAGACGTTTCGTATTGCTGCTTTGCCTTTCTTACGGGGACTGGAATAGAATTGAGGAAATTACGTTGTTGACCCAGATCTTCCAATTTTTTATAGACTTCTTTTTTGACAAAAACAGAGTCGTGTTTATTTGATATAATGGATTAAATTAAACGAGGTTATAAAATTTAAATTAGAAAACTTGTATAGTTGCTAACTGCTGTCATCCCTTAAATAAGTAATACAATTTTGATTTTTATCCATTTTATAATTAAAAAATCTTTCCTATTAACACTTGTTTTGGGCTAGACCTGGGAATCAGGGCCGGCCCGGCCCTCCAGGGCTGGCCCTTCAGGGCTGGCGGGCTTAAAAGGGTCGGCCCTTCAGGGCTGGCGGGCTTAAAAGGGCCGGCCCTTCAGGGTTGAGATTTTAAAAATACCTCAATTTGCTAAGCCCGGCCCTTAAGCTACAAGGCCAGGGTTGGCCCATTTAAGAAAAAATACTATTTTTTATATTTATCATATTTTTTTATAAAAATATAAAAATAAACCAATGAAATTATTAATAAAAGACATAAATATGAATAAAATTAAGTCACAAATATAAAATATTATCATATATAAATATTCATCAATATCTAAGAACATCTAAAACATTCATTAACAAGATAACAACATTTAAAAGTTTTATCTATAATGCAATTGTGCAATAAATAAACACTATCATTAATCTTTTGAAACTTCATCATCACTATAATTAATTATTTTTCTTCATAAGTATGCTTTTCTTTCGTAACAAAAATATCAAGTTTTTCTTCTTTATAAGAATTTATTTTTAAATTTTGCAATCTAACTATTTTTTACTTTAATGTGAGAAATATTGTTGTTGAAACTCATGAATTTCTAATTCAAATTATAGAATCACAAGTTATATAAGTATAAAAATATTCTATTATCAAATATATATATATAGTTTAAAAATATCAACACATATAATATAAATCAAATCATTATTAAAGTCCAAATTAACCCATTTTTTAAAAATTTAATTGAATAAATTATTGTCTAAAACTAAATTTAATTTTAAAATGATAATAATAACTAAATATTTGAAATATTATTAACAATGTAAAAAATTAATAACATTAATATTATATAAAAAAATTTAAAAAATAAAAAAATTATAAAATGGCTTAAAAGGGCCGGCCCTTCAGGGCCAGCCCTCCAGGGCTTATTTCTCATTTTAAGAAAAAAATATCAAGCCCGGCCCTCATAATTTCAGGGCCTAAAAGGGCCGGCCCGACGGGCTCAGCCCGTTTTCCCGGCTCTATTTTGGGCCAACATTTGCACTTATTTTTTGTTAC